TGGGCCAAGTGATCAGTTCAGACATGATATGTCTGGGACATGATATCTATCACCTGAGAGCTGAAACAGTGAAAAGTCTACAAAGAACCCTCTAAATTCTCTTTTTCCCTGTGTGGAAAAGTTGAGAGGCTACAAAACAGAAGCGATCGGGAGCCCTGAATCACCACTTGTAAGGGAGGTAAATGTGAGAACCATTGAGTAAGCAGAAGATTTTGCTTGAACAAGGAATACATTTTTAATGTTAAGCCACTGAAATAGCAAGATTTGTTTGTTCCTGTAGCATTCTTTAAAGTTGATTTGAATTTAATTGGAAGCTTTTTAATAGTCCACTTTTAAAATATGTTTGCTGGCATAACCAAAAGCACCTGGGCTTTTGTTTTTATACTGAATGTTTCAGTATTTGTTAAATTAAACAAGGGGAGAAGATAGCCTCTTTTGTGCTGGCTACTTAACAATCATAGCCTAAAGGCTGCAGAAAAGATGTATAAGCTGCTGTGCTTATGCTCTAGGCCTCATGTCTCATTCCTGGGCTGCAGAGGAATTTCCCAGCCAAATTTCCAACCTATATTTAGATATGTGGTCACGGCTGCCAGGCAGTTTGTGGCACTGCATTAGGTACCTAACATGGGCTGTTACATAGACTATTCTTCACATATCCAGAAGTAAACTACAAGACTTGGTACATTGTATCTGTAGACATTTGACCCATTTTACTGGAGTGGTAGATTTGTAAACCAATTAGTAACTAGGCTATTGACTGAATTTAATGGTTGCTAATTGATTCATTACCAATTAATCTAGACAAAATGATCAAATCACTTGTTTATTTCAGGCTTAGTAGCAATAAAAAGTCTATTACTTCTTTAAAAACATGGTGCATGGAAGCACCCCATGTTTAGTAACTAAATTGATTACAATTATGTATTTCAGGGTCTGTCTCCAACTGCCTTGGCATCTGTTCCAACTCTCTGCCTTCTCGTCTCCCTCAAATCTTTGAGTTCTTTGGGTAGAGGTAAGTCTCAGCAATGCCAAATCCTGTATTCACTTTTAGAAACTATAACAGCAGGAGCCTACTGAATTTCACCTTCAGAGTGTCATAGATGTTTGCAGCTTCTCAGGTCTGTTCAGCATCTCTTCTGCAGTGTCCTCACTTAGACTGCCTGCTAAGGCTTGAGAAAGTCAGTGTTTAATCTTAGCATACCACCAAAGGGATGAAAGCTACTCCCTATCATTTTTTAAACAGCTAAATGATTCAAATTAGAACCATGAATGGTCCAGCCATATTAACAGGTGTTGCAGTATATTAGTTTCAAAAAGGACAAAAAGGATTTTAAAGAAAAAACTTTCTGCAAATCAAGTCTGAAACTGGGTGCAATATGAAATAGTCCAATGCAGTGGGATTTTTTTTTGTGCTTTGAAGACTTTACATCTTTTTTTGTGGGCAAGAGTTCAAAATTCAGGTCAGAAGGAATCAACGCAGAAATGTCATGTTAAATGAAAAGAGAAAAAGAATGCATTCGTATAAAGGCTGGGGATGTGTGTCCTTGCCTCCTCGACGTAGATGTGTTCATTGCAAGGGCAACTGCGTGACTGTTCAAAGGGCCACTGCCCTGTTAAAATGCCCCACATTTGAAATTCTGTATTATTGTCCTAAAAATTCTACTTCCGAACTCACTAATTGGTCAGATGCAGGAACTTGCCAGTTTATTATTCTCCATAAATAAGATAGAAATTCTTTATATAAGGCAATGATACTGTCAGGACTACTACAGTATAATCCCAGACTGTAGAAAATTGATAAACAAGTCTTAGTGTACAGATAATTGTCAAACTATGATTTTCTAAGAATGAGCTGGTAAAGTAAGATTATCTAGCCAAAACCATCTCTGGATTTTTTTTTTTTTAAGAAAATCCAGTGCTTAGGGTAACTTCATGGAATTTGTACTACTGTTAAGTACAAACATGTAAGTGTTCTACTTCTTCAGTTCAAAAATATTTAATCTGCTATCAAGTATGAAAGCACAATCAAATAATATGTAACTGTGTGTAATCGTTAAATTACACCCAAAGAGGTCATCTTTAAATTGGCTTTTCTCTGTATATCACATCATTAAGCCTTCCATAATTGCTTGTTGATTTAAGAGCTCTGATTTCCATTCTACGGTATTTCCATTAGAAGTATGAGGATATATGGATGGAGCTCTTGAGGGATGACCTTATTCCCATTCCCATACCTACTGACCTATTCAGAACAAACATTTTACAGATGGAACAACTGAGACTCCGGGAAGCTAGACTTCTTCCAAGGAATGCCTAGTCTCTGTTGTCACACCATCACTCCAACACTCTGTCTTAGGCATACAGAGCATCTGATTCAACCCAGCAAACCTATACTGAGTTCCCACTACATGCAGTACGTGCACTATCCTTCCCACTCTTCCTTCCTAATTTACCAGTAAAAATCTGCTTAAAATAATGAATAGAGTAGTAGTTTTGAATATATTATGTGCACAAACACACACAAAAAAGTACATGCTAAAAAAGTTCACACTCCCACCATTCAAAATGTTCTATATTGTATTTTTGTGTGTATCAGCCCGTTTAGCAGCAAATGAAGGTATGTACAGGAAGGAATTATACTGGGTTTCATAAGGACCTTTTTTAATCGAGTAGAAATGTACATTGTCACGGGATGCTCATTTTGCTTCAGATTTCTGCACATTGTGGTTGACTAAGATTTTAAATCAACAATGATAACTATAAGGAGGCCCTGATAATAATGGTAGCATATGTTACAGGTCATCTCACTCCATCTGCAAAAGCAATCTTGTAGGAGATGAAACACAATATTGTAATTAGAAATAGATGGATTCAATAAATATTAAGCAGTAAAAAATATTCTCTTAGCCATTTCCTTCTTGGCAGAACCTGCAATTCTGGCTGATCCTAATATCTGACCCATGAAATTAAGATAAAAAGTTATTGAATAGGGAGAGAAGATGGAGAGAATTTAATGGGCATGGCTTTTTGGAATTGCAGTATGCGTTTTGCAATTGCAAGTTGATGCTTCCTCCCTACTCACCAGGACCAACCACCTCAATGTAAACAAGAAATGGTAACTGCCAGAAAGACAAAGGACACGAACACATGCGGACAGATGAGTTCTATTCCTAATTCTATGAATTACATTTTGCTATTTTGATAGAATTAGGCTTCAAGATCAGTTGTTTCAGATAACCAAAACAAACACAAATTTTAAGCTATTTTGCATATATTTCCTGATTATTTAAAACCTGTTTGATCCATTTGAATATTTATTTTAATTGAATCGCCCAAACTGGTCAAGTTAGTTCAGGCCCTGGATCAAGTTAGTTCAGGCCCCACTGCCTTTTTTCTTTTAGAAAATGCTTCCTTTCCTCCTTCCCAACCAAAGAAACTTCAATAAACTCTACCTTTAATCAAGCCCATCTAGTCTTCTCCCAGTCTCAGTTTTGCCTCCAGGCAGCCCTGAGCAGCAGGATGCAGGCCAAACTAGCTCTCTGCTAGCTAATCTGATAAACGAATCTGACAGAGATGAATGCTTTTTAGGGAAGTTGCTGCTTTGCATTTTGGAAAATGGATATTAAAGGCAACCCAGGGATAAAATAAGGTCAGTTTTGAATATTCAAATTGCTTGGTCCCTCTTTCTTTGAAATGGCGGTCTTACACGACTCGCAACTCTTTTTCAAATACTTTTCAATGAATAATAATAATGTATAGCTCTTTTTTAATATATAACCAAAAATAGTCATTGTACCTATTCCCTAAACTAGTAAAGTCTCATCTAGCTTTTCAAAATTTTGCTGATAGACAGAAGCTAGTATTAAGCTTATAAATCATCAGAATTGTTCTCAAGGTTTGGTTTAGAGAATTGCTTCCATCTGTGAGTGGCAAACTTATTCCCTACCAGAAAACTCTCTTTCTTCTAAAATACTAAAAGCATCCCTGGAGTACTTTAAGAACAGAGAGCTAGCCTCAGGGCCTCTAATGCTTTTTTTAAGTTGTAACTCTCCACAGGAAGCCTCAGGGCCTGGTGCACCCCTGAGCCTTGCAGCCTTACTGGTCGCTATTCCACCTGCTCAACCCCGGGCAGGTGCAAGGCACCTCTGACCTCGCTCAGCAGTCCTTCTGATTCTTTGTGGTTTAAGGCCTTAGAATGTGTGTGCTCTAAAATAACAGCTTTTGGATACAGGCAAGTCCCCAGTGTCAGACTAAACTCAGGGCACAGCAGAGCAAGAAAATAGCTAAAAATCAGAGCAGGTGAAGTAAGGTAAAGGCCAGGTTCAAAGGAAAAGAGTAAGTCAGAGAAAGTCAGGGATTCCACCCTGGGCCAAACGTAAGTTATGAATCAAAGCTAGATATGTGACCAGGGATCATAAAGAAACCGGAAGTCAGGACATGGGAAAAGAAGACTGAGATGAGAAAGAAACCTGGGTTTTCATTTCACTCCACTCTGGATCTCAATTTTCTTATCTGTAAAATGAAATTTTAATATGAAATTATCTTAATCACCTAAATATTGTAAGTCTAGAAAGACCATATGAATAGTGTATTAGTCAGGGCTCTCCAGAGAAACAGGATCAACAGAAGAGAAGAAAGGAGAGGAGAGAGAGATTTACCATAGGAATAGGCTCACATAATTATGGAGGCTGAGAGTTCTATAGTCTGCTATCTGTGATCTGGAGACCTGGGAAAGCCAGTGTTGTCATTCAGTCTAAGTCCAAAGGTCAGGGAAAGGATGGGGTACAGGGGGACAATGGTGTAAGTCCAGGTTTGAGTCCAAAGGCCTGAAGTGTTTGAATGGGGTTGGTCATATAGGCCATGTTCTACATTGCACAGAATAAATAATTCCGAAGAGAAAAAAAGGAAATGGTAGACACAGAGCTGAGATGCAATGCAGAATGCAAGATAAGAGAAATCAGCATTAACTGAGTTCCTGACTTTCAGCTCATGTTACATACCCAGTGCAGGTCACCTGGTAGGCTGTGTTCATTTCACTGCATTCTTTCAGGGACTCAGGCTAATGGGAGATTTATCTTGACCCATGCTTTCTGTAACACGGAAACAGGAAAAGGAAAGGTAGAAAATTGTACACTGGCTCTAGTTTCCACTCCAAAGTGACAATGTCACATCTGCTTACATTTCATTAGCAATACCAAGTCACACAGCTCTAACTTCAAAGGGTGTGAGAAAGTGAAATCTTATCTACTATGTGCCCAGAGGGTAGAAAAATTGAGCGTGAATTCCACACCACCCATAGGTTCTTTACCTTCCAAATATAAATATATACAAGTTTTTTTTTATCTTTAAAACCTATGCATATGCACACAAACACAAATACCCAAAGAGCCCCAAAAAACTGTCAAAGCTCTGTCCCTCTTTTCTATCCTTTTCATATGCAGGCTTCTTAAAAGAACTGTCTCTATTTGCTACCATTACTTTCTCCTTCATATAATCATCTTGATTTCTAGTTCTTGTTTGAAACTGTTTTTACCATGGTCACTAGTGACCCATGTGTGCTTAAATTCAATTAACACTTTTCAGTCCTTATTTTTCCTGCTCTGTCTCTCTCTACAACATTTGCTGCTATAAATTATTCCCTAACCTCATCATTTTCTCCAACTTTAATTTCAGCGACACCATTGCTTCCCTCCAAAATCCTGATCCATTCTTTCTCCTCTCCCTTCTTCTCACTACATGCAGCCATGAAAGCTCTCCTTAAGTGATCCTTTAGGATCTTAGGATCACGCCATTCTCCTGCCTCAGCCTCCAGAGTAGCTGGGACTACGGGTGCCCGCCACCACGCCCAGCTAATTTTTTGCATTTTTAGTGAAGACAGGGTTTCACCGTGTTAGCCAGGATGATCTCGATCTTCTGACCTCGTGATCTGCCCACCTCGGCCTCCCAAAGTGCTGGAATTATAGGTGTGAGCCACTGCGCCCGGCCTAGCTGTTGCCTAATATTACTAAGGAAATGACCCTTCCTTCTGTGACTTCATCTCCTTATCTGTGAAATGTGTAAAATAAGATATTAAAATAAAATACGGGTTACAACAGTAATGATAATAATTACATGAGGTTTAATTGATATGAAGTCACTTTATAGTAATAGCTATCATCTACTGCACAATCACTTGGTAGTATTAATTTTACATTCTAGATGTTATTTCATTCTTACAACAACCCAATGTAGCATTATAATCTCCATGATACCTATAGAGAAATAGTGGTTCATAGAGGTTAAGTAACTGACTCAATGTCACACAGCTGGTGAGTAGCAGAGCCAGGATTCAAATCAATATTTGTATTACCCAAAGACTAGAGCTGCTAACTACTATGCTACATTGTCCACTTTTAAGCTGTCATACAAATATCAGTTTATACAATGCATATACACTTAAATATATCAATATTTAAGCACACTATAAGTGAAAGTTACCAATAAACCAAATGGCCAGATTTTTCCGTCTGTAAAATGAGTGAGTTGGATCACACTAAATGAGACACTGCGTATCAAGCACTCTGCACAATCCATGACACGGAGTAAGTATTAAAAAATGCTAACTATCATTATTATTTTATTGTTGCTAAGTCCCTTTCTACATCAACTTTCTATAATTCTGTGACATTTCATCCACATACATTTTGTTAAAGGGCTAAGGTAACATATAATAAGATTTATATCAAAAGATGCAAATAAGCTGGGTGATGATTTGTGGAGGCCATGAAGGCAGAGGTAGATGTTTGGGACCCTACAAAACACGAGTTCAGATGAAGTATGACAATTATCCAAGAAATTTGTTACCATTTTTCAGGGCTTGAGGATCTGCTCCTAACTCTTTTAAATAGTCTAGGCTCAGTATTCATTCTCCAGCTAATTGGGAGCACAATCTGTTCATGAAGTTCCCAGTGGATTCAATGCTACTAGAAGGATAATCTGCATGTTCTGTTTATCTAGTGGGACGAGGGCCATGGAATTGACCTGGTGAGACCACTCTTTTCCATAACCATCACAGTACTTAGAAAAATACCAGACTCAAAATTCTCATTTGCTACAGGCTGGTAGCCACCACTATCCTTCTTGTTTAATAAGCTCAGCCTGTGGACTGTAATAAAGGGGACAGAGATAAACAAGTATTGTTTTCTACCTGGAAAGCCAGGTAGAAAAGTCAAGAATCCAGGGAAAAACACAAGCTTTTAGGGCCTGACACACATCAAAATCTAGGGCATAAAGGACGAAATCAGCAAGACAGTTAAAGCTATGCAGAAGAAGTCAGAAAAGGTAGGAGTTAAAAGATCACAAGGGATCCTCCCAAACACAAGCTTAGTTACTTCCATAACCTTCCAAAACCCCAATTTATAGATGAGGAAACAACTTCAGAGAATTCAAGTGATTTTTCAGAGGTTATAAAATTAGTGATATATTCAGGAGAAGGAATATTAAAGTAAACAAATATGCTGCTAGATTTTAAGGTTTAAACAAGGTGATATTAGGGAGTAACTGAGATGAGAGTAATACTAGCTAGATGCGGTGTCTATTAGTTACATATTAGTGTATAACAAATTACCACAAACTTAGCAGCTTCAAACAACACACATCATCTTATGTTTTCTATAGGCCAAGAATCTAGGCACAGATTAGCTGGGTTCTTTTTAGAGTCTTAAAAGACAGCAATCAAAGTGTCAACTAGGCTGTATTTTCATCTGTAGGCTTGAATGGGGACAAATCTACTTTCAAACTCACTCAAGTTACTGGCAGAAATATGTATGTATGTATGTATGTATGTATGTATGTATTTGCAGCTGTAAAAATGAGGGTTGGGCTTCTTGCTCACCATTGGTGGAAGGTGGCCCTCAGCTCTTAGTAGCTGTCCATAGTTCCTTGACACAGAGGCTTTCCCAACATGGGTGATTACTTCATTGAGTCAGCAAAGAAAGTCTCTAGCAAGATAGTCTTATATAATGTAACATAATCACAGGCATATCTCATTGCCTTTGCCATATTCTTTTGGTTAGAAACAAGTCACAGATCCATCGACACTCAAAGAAGGGGATTATCCAAAGGCATGAACGCTGCAGGCAGGGATCATGGAGGTCACCGCAGAGTCTGCACACCAGAGCGTGTCACAGTGGTCTTTAAAGGAGGTGAGACCAGTGGCTTTAAGGAGCCAGAGATGGAAAGACCCAACAGAGGGTGTGATGGATGGAGGGAACTGCACATACAAAGCCCCTAAAGTGGGAAAGAGCTCAGACAGGTAGGGCAATGGAAAGGAGGTCTGGATGGCTGGAATATAGGAGAGCAGGTGGGGAGCAGGTGGGAAACAGTACAAATTCATTATGAAAAGATTAGAGAATTGAGCAGGAGCCAGATCACACATAAGTACGCACTACAACTTCCTGATGATCAGTTGATATTTTATTCTAAATTTATTTTGATTCTTTCATTCAGCCAACATGTATTATGTTGCCCACTGTGGCCAGGCACTGTGCTTCGTGTTGAATGAAAATCTAACATTATTTTTTTTTATTAGTTTCTGGCCATGAAATCTACTAAAATAAATTCAGATAAAATACCTTCTGTTGCTTCTATGTTGACCCTCGGCAACAATGATGTGCCTAAGTGGTAAAACCTGGAGAGCCATAAACAACATCCACGTAAAACATTAAAGCCAGTGAAAATGAAAATCACGCAATTTAATTCTACTTTGCTACCTGCCTGATGTGTGTGAGGCCTTAAAAATAAAAAACCCATATTTGTCAGGTTTTCAGATGGCTCTAGTATCTCAGTAAAGAATAGAGACAAGAATCTTCCCCAACATCATTTTCTCACTCACTTCATTAGTTTCTCTCCATGTAATCTGTCTCTCAGTCACCACCGGATGCACATCCAAGACGCTTTTAAATGGGCTGCAATATGAACATTCCAGTAATGTCTTTTCTTTGTCATTCAGATTAAAAACATTTCAGCATTTTGCTATAGTATTAATAATACAAAGGAAAGCTCACTCCAAGACTTTCCTAGTCATTCTTTTGTTTTTGTTTTTGTTTTTGTTTTTGACGGAGTCTCGCTCTGTCGCCCAGGCTGGAGTGCAGTGGCGGATCTCTGCTCACTGAAGCTCCACCTCCTGGGTTCACGTCATTCTCCTGCCTCAGCCTCCAGAGTAGCTGGGACTACAGACGCACGCCACCACGCCTGGCTAATTTTTGTATTTTTAGTAGAGACAGGGTTTCACCGTGTAAGCCAGGATGGTCTTGAACTACTGACCTCATGATCCGCCCACCTCAACCTCCCAAAGTGCTGGGATTACAGGCATGAGTCACTGAACCCGGCCAGACTTTCCTAGTCATTCTTTGTGCCTATGTCCTGTAAGAAGCACAAGAGTTTGTGAGTTAGTCATTAGCGATAGTAGAAATTATCCACATTCAGCCCAAAGAGCAGTGTGACCTTCTCCCCAGAATGTGGGCATGTGGGAACAGTATCAAGCCCATATAAAACAGAGCTGCTATCCATTATGAATTGTGAAGTTTTGAAATAAAAACCTGATCTCAAAGCATCAAAGTAGATACTTTGATCTACATAGAATTTACAGCTTATACACGTTAGTTACACATTAATTCAGTTTCCACTAAACCAGATGCCCCCAACCCTCAGACCAATCTAGTACCAGTCTGTAGCCTGTTAGGAACTGGGCCACACAGCAAAAGGTGAGCAGCTGCAACCCAGTGAAACTTTATCTATATTTATAGCCACTCCCAATCACTCACATTATCGCCTGAGCTCTGTCTCCTGTCAGATCAGTGGCAGCATTAGATTCTCATAGATTCTCATTCGTAAACCCTATGGTGAACGGCACATGCAAGGGATCTAGGCTGCTCATTCCTTATGATAATCTTTTAAAATTTCAATAGTTTGGGGGGAACAAGTAAGGTTTTGTTACATGGATAAGTGTTTTAGTGATTTCTGACATTTTGGTACACCCATCACCCCAACAATGTACACGTTACCCAGTGTGTAGTCTTTTATCCCTCCTCCTATCCCAGTATTCCACCTG